GAAATTGTGTTACAAAAAAAGGCATAATTAATATCGGCCAGACGGTGTGCGCTTGTTGCGGGAATTTACCCTGCTCGCCGAACAGTCCGCCGCTGTAACGATAGTTTCGCTAATTTTTGTGCTGTATCCATACACATTTTTTCTGTTTCCGCAATTCAATACAGTCCACTTCTCTACGCTCCACTATGCCAACACAAACCCTACATCTTTACATACCTACATATATATTGGGCAAGCTTCGCGCTATTCTGCGCTGAGCATCGATCTCCACAATTATTTACATACATAAATATAGATTGGGCAAGCTTTGCGCTATTCTGCGCTGAGCATCGATCTCCAAGCTATTACATACATATATACACACGTCCGCATAATGGCATATATATCAAGCAATTATTTGTCTTTTTTTTCGTCTCCTCTTTGTGCCTAGAGCGTGTACAAGCACCTGCACTCGTACATTCCACAGCCGAACAGTGCCAAAATCCGCCATCTAAAACTTTAAAGAAATAAATTTCGTGAACCAAGGATTTAAAATTATCCGAATTTTATTTATCCTATTTTCATTATATCAAAGAAATACCAATTTACATACATCCCTACATTGGGCAAGCTTCGCGCTATTCTGCGCTGAGCATCGATCTTCACAATCATTACATACATACATATATATATTGGGCAAGTTTCGCACTCTTCTGAGCTGAGCAGCCAAACTCAAACAAGACTGTTTTAATTGTCTTCAATTTAGCCGCCGCAACGGCTGTGTTGTTGTTGCCCTTTAGTTTTTTGGGTCCCTCACTCACCACTGCTTTGCCGACGGCTTATCCTAGTAAGCTCTTCTCCGCGACCAAAAACGGATGTTTGTTTTTAAATTCTACCTTCCCGGTGTTTAAATAATTAAACATCTGTGGCTCATAACTTTAGAAATTAACAAATAGTTCAACATCCAGATCCAAAATTTGAATTTGATTAATTAATTAAAGTTAATTAATTTTTAATTTAATCTTTTCAACTTAGCCGCCGCAACGGCCGTGTTGTTCTTGCCGCTTAGTTATTTTGAGTCCCGCACATATGCACTGCTTTGCCGGCGGCATGACCCACTGAGTTTTTCTCTCGAATAAAGCCAAGGTTTTATTTCGACCATTTCGGATCCGTGATGAATAAATTTGGCAACAATTACTTTCGGCCAATATGTTCCTAAATCCGTATTTAATTTATTACGGTATCCATTCACATTTCGTGACCAATTTTCTGAGCTAAATAAAAGCAAAACCTCCACGTCCGATCTACTTAATACACACCAAAGATTACGTGAAAATACAAGGATTTTAATTCGCAAATTCACTACTATTAAATACTAGCCCAGCTCCATCGTCAAGGCTCGTTCGGTCGAGTCAATTTGAGGCAAAGATCCACACTCTAGGCGCCCCAGAAACCACCCAGCCCTCTCCTTACACGTGTCAAGTGAGTCGCGACCAGATTTGAGCACTGTGGGAACAGGTCGAAAGGGATTACGATAGTTGTTCTGAACTTATATCGGCATGCGGTGAGAGTACCACCACCCGGAGTACCACCCGTCCCGGAGTCTGCTGGTTGTCGTCTGCCACCGGTGGACACCGAAATTTTCGCTGGTGACTGTCTTCGGTAGCCCACGTTTAGAGACCTTTTTACTGCGGTATATATTCATAACCCTCGTCTCACCTCGGTGGAGAAATTGTTCCACTACTTTCCAAAACAACTGACGAAGCGCACGCCATTGTTTCCAAAGCCCCGCTCACCAATGAGGGGTACGTCGAAGCCTCACCGACCGCTTCGCGAACCGGCGGTTGTTGGTCAACAGCCAGTTGAAAATTCATTTCAACATCCAGGCTATCCCCCAAGAGTCCGGAAGCGCACTAAGAGAGCTGCAAGGCACTATACAGAGTTGTCTAATGACCGCCATTCAGGTCGAAGCCTGGGACTGCCTCCTGGTGTACATGGTTTCCTCGAACCTCCCCAAGCTCACACTCTCCATGTGGGAGGAATCTATCCACAATAAGGACAAAATTCCAACTTGGATCGAGCTAGACGCGTTTCTGACCGAACGCCATTATCGTACGCTGGAGGCCATCGACGACGTTACGTCTACCAGCTCGGGGCATTTTCCGCCAAAGTTGTCGACTCCGAGGGCCCCAGCGCCCCGGCTTCATTCTTCCGACTTCAGGGTGACATCAACACCCAGAAGGTGTTACCTGTGTTCCAGGGAAAACCACCCTCTGCGAAGATGTCCCCGTTTCCCCAAAATGACCGTAGTCGAGAGATCAAATATCATCCGAAGAAAGCAACTCTGCTTGAATTATTTGGCACAAGGCCATCAGCAGCGGGATTGCCCCAGTGTCCACTCTTGCCTTAAATGCCGCAGACGACATCACACCCGGCTGCATCCCTGAAACTGTTCCCCCAGTGTTTAGATTGCTCTTGAACTTTCCAGCCCAGTAACCGCACCGATCCAAAGGATATCCGCGCTCTCCACGCGAATCACTACTCCCAATGCCTTCAATTACTGGGTACCCTACGACATCAAGAGCAGACGTTCCCGAGGTATTTTATCTTACCCATGCCGAGTCTGCAGCGGAATCCATCCTCTTCGAAAATGCAAAAGGTTCCTCAGGCTCAGTGCTGAGAAGAGGCTCAGCGCGGTGTCCAACAATCGCTCCTGTTCGAACTGTTTGGCCCACGAACATTCCCAAAGCAAGTGCCGCAGTGGTGCCAATTCGCGTTATTTACTGACCGCTCTTCTAAATGATATATTTTTTCTAGTCCGCTTCGAGAAGATGCCATCGCTTCGCACCACGCGAACGCTCTGATCAGAGGTCCAATCCAACCAATTCCGAGGTTACCACCGAACTTCATTCGCTACCGACGTCGACGTCTCCTCTAGGACCCTGCGCCTCTCCCCGGCACTCCTCAGCCACTCCACGGCCTTCGTCCACCACTCCTCAGCTGCACTCCGGTGCGCAGAGGCAATTTCCGCCGCTAGCCAGGACGCCGAGCAGAACCCGGCAGCGTTTATACAGGAAGATTATGTTGCAACCCGAGTGATTGCAAGGGGGGGAGAATGTTCACGTCTTCTTAACCGAGTTTCCAAAGCTTTGCCGCTCTTGCACTCCCGCAAGTCGGCCTTTCGCGCCCATCGGGCTTGTATAAGCGCTCCCGCGCTCCGCTCTTCGATGTTCGCGAACACCCGCTCCCGAGTTCCCGATCTTCGCTCGCTGCTAAGCGAGCTGAGGGACGGATAGTTCGCGCTCCACATCGCGGGCCCGCTCTCGCACTGTTAAGCTTAGCTTATCGGTTGGGAGCGCAGCCCTTATGTTTAAGCTAGTTAGTTCCATGTATGATGCTTAATAAAGCTGAAGCAATTATTCGAGCTCCACGACGCCCCCGACTTATGATTTTAACCACTACGGGTTATATATATTTTGACTGCGTCGCGGGAGCTATTTTCCCGTACAGGATCTGTAGCGGCAGGATCGCCCCCCTCCGAACAAACAGAAAGATTCTTTTAGTTCTGATGAATATTTCCTGAGTTATAAGTATATTTGAAAAGGAGTTTTAGAGTGCTCTATGTTAATTGCTCCTATGTAAAGTGCATTCCAAACTTTAAACGTGTTTTTCTCAAAATGGTGTTTTCAAAGTCGGTGACCAACATTTCTCGAAAAGGGCTAGCCCGCGATTAGTTTCAAATTTTAACACGACCTTCTTAAATATATTTTCTGAAGATTAATCGAAGATTTTTTCTTTCCAATAAATATTATATTTTTTATAAAAGATTATTTTGCTTATTCCTTCGATTAATTACTAGATTTGACATTACTCTAACGAAAAGTGTTTGGTTTTATAATTTCGGATGATCCAGTTTCGACATATAGTGGTCACCGCAAAACGTCTTTTTAAGAGGAGCTCTCGGAGATCAGGTGTAACTCTTTTCAAAATAAATGTTTTTACTAGTTCTAACTCTTAAAATACAGTTAAAAGATACTTTAATATGTGTATACATTTTGGAATCAATAAGTTAAAAAGTTTCATCAGAAAACACTCTGAAAAATTCACTATTGCTTGGCCCTCTAACTGTATGTAACCCCTTTATTGTGACCCGCAAGGGGACAAAATACATGTCATACGGGCACCCCCGCGCAGCGGCACAGCGAGAGTGAGAGAGCGGAAGAGCGTGGGAGATAGAAATTTGACACGTTTAGCTGCGCGCAAACAAAAGCAAAACGAAGAAGGCACAAAAAGGAATAAAAAGCTTGCACTAGCAGCACAACTAAATTGGGAAATAAAACAAATTAAATACACAAATCAGAATAGCTGCATGCACACGCGAAGTGAATGGGGAGATAATATACACACAATAGAACATTTAATTTAACAACGGTGGTTATTAGCAAACTTTAACACAAATTCAGAGCGCAAGAAAAATCAAATCCGTTCACTTGGAATTTTTCCAGATATATAAATAAATGAATTTTTATGCTTAACTTACTCCAATCTCATTCGCATTCACGCGGCCACTTTGTAGAAGATTTTTATGTCTCGCGGGGCGTCTGCCTTTTGGCCAACTAGCGGCTGGATTCGTTTCCATTAGTTAACCGGGTACCAGTTGAGGCGAAATTGTGGCACGAAGAGTGCGGGTTTCGTCGTCGCTGGAAATCAGAACGAGAACCAAGGTAATAACACAATGGCTGCTGGGAAACCAAGCCACATATCCTTTGCTTCAAGGCGAGGCTCCTCGGGCCAGTTGTCTGAGCGGCTTAAACCTTTCGGGTAACGCACATTACTGCTGGGAAAAACGGGCGTTTATTTGGACTTAAGAGGTGTGGGAAGAATATCGGAACCAAGATCGCCACAACGCAAGCCCTCGATGGACACTGGCCACCATTTGACAAAAATATCGAGATCGGAATCCTGTTTCTTTGGCGTTTTGCCCCGAGAAAAATCGATTAAAAAAAAAAAAAAACAACCACTACACAATATTTTTTTTATTAGGCCAAAGAATTCTCTAAAAGGTCTATAAAATTACAGAGTAGCGCAAAATTCATTTCAAATTTGATTCTATTTTGGATATTAGAGCGACGGTAGCTCAAATCAATAGTGGTTATTTGATAAACATTTCTGCCGAGATTGCTATCTCCCAATATAAGGCGTGTGTCCCACACAAACGATTCTATAAAATTCTTCGATTTAGTGCACTCCCATTGCCCAACATGCTTTGTTACTGCAGGCTGACGTGCTGCGAGGACCGTCGCCACTAGTCTACTCATTTCAGGATTAATGCAAGAAAACTGTGACAAATTTTCATTTGTAGTTTCTAAGGCAAAGTTTTCATAACATTTTGAAATCATTCGAATGGACAGTAGAAAGTCATCTGAATTTTTAAATCCATATTTGTGGGACAACCGAATAGTTTGTGCTTCATTAATATTTCCAATCAGGTAATCTATGGCTAAATGGAGAACCTTTTAAAAAATATTTTTCATTTTGTAATTATATTTTTATTTATTGTTCACCTCGGTAAATATTTCTTTATTATCAACATTCCGGAATAAATCCATTCTGTGACATTTATTTACTAATTTATAGAATGTAAATGAGACCGAGTGTTGTACAATTAGCTCATTTTAAGCTTAGTTAACCATTTTCGAGAATGAAAAAACATTCAAAGACCCGTTTACATCTACTTTTGCGTTCGATTACTTTCGAGAAGAAAAGAAATTTCGGAACAGAAAAGGCTCATGGACCATCAATTCAACGGATGGTTGATGGCAGATGGCACTCTGTACTAACATAGGCTAAAACATTTGTTAGCGGCAAAAATTCTATATACATATTAAAAAATTTTTAATAAAAAAAATTATTGCGAGAATGGAACTATTTGTCGTGATAGTCGTGAGTACAGTGACCTTAAATACGGTAAAGCAGGCGATAAGACACATTGTCGTAAAAAGTTTATCAAATTATTAGTTATGGTTACAAGATTTATTGACCAAAAGTATATATAACAAGCAAGAAAGCTAATTTTTGCACGCCGACGTTTATGTACCCTTGCAGATTGCACTTCGATCATCAAATTTTACAATATTAATTTTTATATTTGTTAAAAAACAAAACGGAATAATCGTACTTCCGCCTACCTTTGTTATATTTATACATACTTACAATTTGTTATTTTCCGCTACATTTACCATTGGCATTTCATAAAATGAATACCGAAATTCTTGAATAATATAAAATGTTTTTTAATTGTATTAATTTCTCGATTGTTCCCATAGCAGCTATATGATAATGCCGTCTGATTTTATAAAATTTTAAACAAAATTGTAGAATTATAAAAATGGCTGTATCTCAATTGTGATTAAACTCTGTTGAAAACTGAAAAAAAAATTCCGATCGTTCCTATGGCGCCTATTTCGTATAGTCATCCAACCCGGCCCGATGCGACTTTCCAGTGAGTATGTATAAAAAACTAACGACAAAGTTTCATTCACATAGCTTCAAAACTGACAGACTAGTTTGCGTTGACGCTGACCAAGAATATATATATGTATGTATATAGTGTATATGGTCATAAATGACTCATTCACTGCGTTGCAAACTTCTAATTTTGATTATCTACCTTATGTGTTTCTTAATAAAAGACAGGCCTTGGGCGGCTTTACAACGGCACTCCTCTCATCTCTCTTCTCCTAATTTTCTGATAATTTCAGAGTGAATTAGTCAGCTGGGATCATCGTCTAGTGTGCGCGCTTTTATAAAAACAGAAAATTTGATTTTCCTTGTGATATAAGTTCAGATTTCAGCCGCCACCCACTGTAACCTAATACTAATTATGACTAATTACATCAAGCTTATTATTGAAGGAATAAGGAACATGAGATTAAAAGCAAATCAATTTTTTACCTATGACTAGCTATAAAAACACTTGATCTGCAGGACTTAACTTACATATACATATCTATACTAAACAGCTAAGGGGCGCAACATTTATTTTATTATATTTTATTACTGCATAAACCGGACCGGCAGGTCACTGTCATCTCTTTCCCCCTCTCTCTTTGAAACTCCCATTAATAGTTTGGAAGTTAATCCAAGCCGCACACCGATAGATAGATAGCCTAGAAATATAGCAGCGAGTGCTGCTGAAATTTTTTTTTTTTTTTTTGGCGTATACCCTTTTTTGGGGTCATTTGCTCCTACTACTAATATTGAAACTGCGTGACTTTCTTTTCAATTTAAGTAATTTTTCGTTGTGGTTATCATAAAAAAAAATATTTAAATAACAATAATTTATTAAAGTAAATGTCCTGGACAAGTCTTTAAAATGCAAAGGCGAAGGAAAGCCGACATCAGGCCAAGACATTAAGGCTCCGCCAAGGAGAAAGCAAGTATCACTCCTTAATCTAAACGCACAGGTGGCGCTTTTGAGGGCCACAGAAGAAAATAAAATCAAACAGCTCAGTCATTAATAAAGGGTCTATAGAGCAAGATAGTCGAAATGAGACTGAGGACAAAACTGATCCTCGGGGCGCCGAAGACAATGTCAAATTCCTTGCAGAGATCGCGAAATATGTAGCATACAAAAACCGGGCGGAGTTCCAGTTCTCTCAGACAAAGCGTAATCGCTCAAGGGGGCGAAGGACGCACAAGGCCAAGAGCAACAACCTTTGTCAGCAAGGCGAAAAAGTTCAGTGAGGTGGCCAGAATCAGTCTGGTGGGCTAACTTTACGACGACGGTCGTCCACTGTCGGAAAGGTGGAAGGATATTGAGAACAAATTGGTTACACTGATAACCGATCACATTCCCTTCTTAGACATCTCAGATGATAAGGTGCGACGGTAGGTTTTCCCGTAGCTTCTTGGCGGACTGTGTGCGTAGGATTACCGAAACTTCGGCTGACCTTAAGATTAATTTAACGACGAGAAATCCCATGACACAAATCCAACAAACATCGCTGCCGATGTCCCTCTCAGGGAGATGGATATCGACATCGGTCGGATACATTATCCTTGGACCAGGGACGAACAAGTCACTGGACTAAGAATCTCAGGATAAAAATTACTCTGCACCAAATCGAATAGTAGGTCAAGAGCCAAGTGACGTGGTCTTCTACCGAGCCAATCCCCAATCCCAAGTCGGTAGATCGGTTTGTTGAAACTGATTTACTGGCGCGAACGGAGTGGATCAATTCCTTAAACCTGGCCTTTGATTCCTCACAGACTTCGCTAGAAAAATTTGATTTTGCGGAGATAGCGAGCGACCATTGCATCAAATTCTTCACAACGTTCATGGATGTGAAGGCGAAAATAAATCGAGGTTTAGCGGCTCGTCTCAAGTCGCAATTGCCGGCTGCAACCGATGCAAATTCAACATCCATCGACATTATTAATTATCCGGATCTTTCTTTCCGATCTTGGAAGCCTCGGCTGCCAATTCTGGAGATAGCTCGGTTCCATAGATCCTATTCTAATTGGCCGGATTTTATTGCGACGTTCACGACGGTCATCGGAAATGATGAGGAGCTAAGCGATATTGAAAAATTACAATATCTAAGTTCAAGTTTAGGCGGCGTGGCTCTGGAGTCCATACTTTCGCTTGAGCCCTCGAATGCCAATTATAAAAGGCTTTGAATTTACTCACCAATCGATTTGATAATAAAGTTCTTTTCAAGTATACGTATTTGGGTTATTTGGGTTAAAAGGTGTCAAGAAGGGATCGGACAAGGCTCTTCGGGAGCTAAGCGATTGCATAAATTCGCATTTACGAAAAATGGGAAGGGGATTTGTCCACCAACGAGCTATCTACTTGGGAGTCTATTGAGTCATTCTTGCCGAGGAGGTGTAAGATGATGGAAAATTTGGATCAAGCCTTGGCGAGGGATCTTTATTTGCCAAAATGCTCTCGATTTTTAAATTTGAGTCCGAATCTTCCATTAGAGAAGCAAAAAAGTTGCACCTGTGCTTCGACTGTTTGCGCTAGGGGCATAGTTTGCATGCAATGCTCACTTGCTTATGACGTCACAGCAATACTTAGCGGCTAGCGCTTGCATTGGGGGACAAATTATTTAAGTTATCTAACTATAATTACCACTTATTTTAATTTAATTTTGTTTGTCTGACAATATATTTCCCAAAAGGCATTTTTGACCGACCAGAAATTATTATTGCATTCCATATTGTATTAAAACATTTTTATTTGTTTCAGTACATTTGCATATTTTAAAAATTATAATAATTAGAAACTAATTGTATAATTAATTAATTTGTTGTAAACTAGAAAATAATAGATTTATGGTAAATTTATGACATTATTTTTTAACTATGAACAGAACGTACTCACATACATACTTATGTGTGTATGCAATCGTCTTCTGTTGAGGTAGGCTCTCAAAGTTGACCAAATGCGTGTTAGGTGCCTGCATGTATACAGTATGTCAAGAAACTGTTTACACACTGAAAATTTAAAATATTTTTTGAATTTGCATGCAAATATAACGCTTTTAGTAAGATTTTTAATTATTTTTTTTCAATGGATATCTATTTATTGGATAATTCTTAATGATAATATTCAAAAACATAAACAAAACAATTTAAGATTTAACAAAAAATTAATAAAAAAAACTTTTCACATTTTTGACACTGTCGAAAAACTCTTTACACAATATACAAAACGTACAGCTAAAATGATATATTTAAAAACTTAAACAATAATTTATTAATTTTAGTACTTTGTGTGCTTCCCCTTAGCATTTACTACATGCTGGATGCGTTTTTTCATGGAAATGATTAGATTTTCCAAGAGAATTCCAATGGAATTCTCTGCCACTCTTCCAGCACTGCAGTTTTGAGGTCTGCTCGATTTCTCGGTTCCCTTTTAGCCACCTTTTTCTTTAAATGAACCCACAAATTTTCAATGGTGTTCATGTCAGGGCTCTGAGGAGGTGTATCTATAACCTTTTGGCAGTTTTACAGGAGCCATGGCCGCAAAGTTTGTTCCTTATGTTTGGGGTCATTATCTTGGTAAAATTTGAATTTCGGCTTTTCTTCGTCCATTAAGCCAAATTTTTTAGCGCTCTGCCTCAAATTTGATTGGAGTATGGAGAGATACTGCTTAGCATTCATTGTGCGTTCTATGAATGCGAGCTCCCTGACTCCCTTGCTGCTTATACACCCCCAAACCATAACCGATAATTTGCCAAATTTTACGGTAGGCACAATGTTGCGCTGGTTTAATGTGATTAACGGCTTACCAAACTCTGGAAGGACAATCGTTGTAATACAGCATAATTTAAGTTTCGTCTCAAAAGATGACGTTATCCCAGTAATTTTCCGGCTTGCTGATCATCTTCAAAGCGAAAAAATACCGCTACTGAATGTTCAGCGGTTTCTTTCGCGGAACTCTTGATAAGTATTTGTTCCGTAGAATCAATTGGCGCACGGTTTCGTGCGAAACGACTACGCCACATTCTTCCTCCAACTCCTTGGCAAGGGTTCTGGTCCAGATTTGGGGGTTATGACGCACCTTACGCGTGATAAGGCTTTCTGCCCGTTTGTCTATCTTCAACTTCCTACCTCCTCCAAACTTTTCTTCCAGCTTTCCTTCAATTTTAGCCCGATTTAAAACATTGTAAATAGTTTTCCGGGATACCCGAAACATGTCGACCAACTCCGCTGCAGATTTTCCAAGTTGGTG